AAATCCTATCTTACCATTGTGAAACAGGTGTTCTTATTTCCATTCTCATGGAAGAGAATACTAAGATTCAGAGACGAAATTTAGCCTGTTAGCAAGTGGAAGTTGTGGGTTTGCAACGAGATCTTCTGACCTTGCAGTTTTCCCCTTCACAACTGTTGGTCTGTGTTGGACTCCAACTTTTTTGCTTTTCCAATCCCATTTGCTGCCCTTTGCAAGAATGTCTTCAGTATCAATGCTGATCACAGCTTGGAACGCACACCCTCCAGGTGCCAGGACCTATGGTAAGCCCAGCTGGCAACCTTCATAATTCCTAGAGATCATCCTTCTATCCTGTCTTCTCAGGAAGTCTCGGCAAGGTGGGACATGCCAGGGCTCAAATGATGTTGAAAAGCACTCAGTGCTGAAAACAAGCACAGTCACTGGAAGTGTGGAAGACAGAAAACTGAGTCAGGGAGCATCCAATTTAGGTCTGGTGAGAGCAACCAGCTGGAAGTGTCAAGAAAAGGAGGGGAGAGGAAGGAAGGAACTTAAAAATGAGCTCCAGGGCCTTTATTTCTCCTTAGGTTTCTTAGTGACTTTTCTTTCTTTTTGTCTTCCAGCCCTAATCGATTACATTGGGAAATTGGCTCTGTCACGCACCAGTGAGTAGCAGAGCAGGAATTCAAGCCTGACTCCCACTCCTGTTTCAAGACAAAGAAGGGGAGCCTACACATGCTCTGCAGGTGACTGGCCTCATTTCTTTCCATAGGAATTAGGATTATGTGGCAAGGCTTACCCTCTCCCCCCAAAAAACCCTATCACCTACTTGTGATATTTAATCTGATCTAGATGTGTCCTCAGGCCGGTCACCATGCTTTGTATGAGTCCAGGTGAGGGTGCTTTTGCTGTATAAAGGTAGACAGCTGACATAGGGATGGTGGCTTGGTACATCCTTGCTTGCTGTGCTGGTGGCTCTTGCTCTGGAAGTGTTTAAAGACATCCAGCCCCACCTTTGAGAAAGAAGACATCCTCTGGGACTTCAGTGGCTGGTTTTCTGTCGCTCTTGTGAGCGTCCCTAAATTTGGACTGCACACCAGCTTTTCACCCAGCTGTCACTCAAGAAAGCAGCAAGGGCTTCCCTCCAATCATCTTCCTGTCCCATCTGTCCTCTCTTGGGTGTGTGTGGGATGAGAGGCAGAGAGAAGAAATGAGATGGGAGAAATGTGGGATGAGAAGATTCTTTAAATGGTCCTCCTGGATTCTGGTTGTCTGGGAAGTCATTTGTGTCTCCAGAGGGGCCAGTTTCATTGGGAATTGGAATATTCAGGCTGCTGACTCTAGGAATGCAGGAGTTATGGGCAAGGAAAAAAAAACAAAAAGAAATACAAGATACCCTGAGAAGAAGAGAGGAAAAGAGCTGAACTGAGTTCCCAGGATGAAAGAGAGAGTACAACCTGTGCAATGCTGGTTGTAGCGACTGTGGTGGGGGAGGCAAAGGCTATGTGAACGTCTTCCCACTCAGCTCCCCAGATTGGGACTGCTGTGCTTGGGGGAGCTGATGACCAGCTGCCATCCTTGAGGAGGAGCTGCACCCAAGAAAGTCAGCACAAAATCTTAACTGCATGATTTATGGTCCCGTAGAGACCTGGAAGGGCGGAAGGGTGGGTGGAGCCCATGGCTGTGTCTCGTGTGCTTGCCTGACCTCTATCTGGACAGCAGTGAAAGACTAACTGGGACCTTGGGAGAGGAGAACTCTCCGCACTAGCCGGGCTTCTCTGTAAGAGTGAGGGTAAGCCGAAAAACGCTTTGTGTGTTCCAGAACTCTCATGAAGGAGAAAGTAACTGTTCTAGGGGTGCAGCCACTTGCTAGGGAAGGGAGATGCTGAGTTCATCTGGAGGCTCAACAAGGTCCTAAAGGAATGGCAAGCTGGGCAGGGCTGGGAAGGGAAGCTATGAAGTCACAACAACATGACAGGCACATTATACATGTATTTCTTCTATTGCTTTACTGGGATGTGATTTCCACCGCACAATCTACCCACTAGAAGTGTACCTTGGTGCTCTCTTGGGTATCTTCCCAGACATGTACAACCACCTCCATGGTCAAATATTAGAATATTTTCATTAACCCCAAAGACCCAGGCATTCATTAATAGTCATTACCCTTCTACCTCTTCCCCTACCCTCTAGGCAGCCACCTAACTTTCTCTCTCCATTTGAAACATTCCACGCCAAAGGAGTATCTGGCTTTTCATTTGCATAAATGCCAATTTCAAGGTTCATCCATGCTGCAGTGTGTATTAGGTTCTCATTCCTTTTCTGGGAGAAATAATTTTTCATTCTTTGTGTATGCCACTTTTTACTTAGTGATTTGTGAGTTGTTTCTGCCTTTGCATGATGACGAATAATTCTTCTATAAACACTTGTGACAAGTTTTTGTGTGGATATGTGTATACTTTATTCTTTCCCCTAACAACAAAGCCAGGATCGTCACCAATTTATGAAAAGCCACAGCTCAGAAAGGCGAAGTAACATTTTGAAACCAAACAGATTCTCTTGGGTTTGGTTGGACTATGACAGAAGGGCAAATAAAAGAGAAATAAAGTAGAATTTCACTTCACCTTCACCAGGTCATTATACACACGAATGGGCAAAGAGTACGCAGGGAAAGCACGAGTGAACGTGCGTCAGTGGTTGACCTGGTGTAGCCTCCACTGCTATCTCTCTGGCCATGGGTCTGGGGGCACAGGACTACGTTTGCTTGACGTCGGAATGGCTCTGAGTCATGGAGAGATGTCCTTTGTCCTTGTTTCACAGGTAGGCAGAAGAATAGGTCAAGAACCGCTCAAGTCTCTAGCTGGAGTAGCCGTGGGAGGAGCCGCGTAGGAAGTCTCTGTAGCAACTTCCTCATTCTGAATGGGCTTCCCGGAGTGAGCTCTTCCGGAAGACAAAGGGGGGTGTCAACTGCAAGGAAGATGAGCCTCAAAGAGAGGAATCCACCAAGTGCCCGAGGAGAGCTCTGTGGCGTGGGACAACAGGGTCACCAAGGCTGCCGGCTGTCCTTCCTTCTGGCCCCAGGGCTTTCCCAGAAAGCACTTGGATTTGGGAAGGCAGGTGACATGCCACCCCTTTAATGTAACTCTGATGGCTTGGCAGAACTCAAGCCAAAACTGGTAATCATTGACCCTCAAAAACTCCCCAGGGCATTTTAATAGACTCTAAGGGAAGGCTGACTCTCCAGCAAATCCACTGCCCTGTTGTTTATCCAAAATCCTTGCCCTTCTCATCACCTTTCTGGGAAGCATGATGCTAGTGCAGCCTTGATCCTGGCGTACAGAAACCTGGCATTAAAGGCAGCATAGATTGCGATGTGATTGGGTCTTTTCATTCTATGCAAGAGAAATTAGAGCCAGAGGTAGTGTAACCAAGGGTGTTAACAGCTGGATCACTTCCTGTGTTCCGGTGCTGCCTGAACTCTTTCTGTCTGTAAGATACACATGCATGTCCCCATTTTACAGAAGAGAAAACTGACATGCTGTGAGGTTATGTAGCACCCAGTGTTAGCACGGGTAAGTGACTGACTTCAGATTCACACCCCACAAGCCCTCTTCTAACATCCTGCCCAGTTGTTCACTTGGTGAAATGATGACAGGGAAACTTCAAACATAAGCTAGAATGTGGAACTAGAAGGCATTCAGAATCTCTCCTCCAGTCTGAGAAATGGTGTTCTGTGCATCCCGTTCTGCAGGTCTCTCAGGCTGGGCTGCAGCAGCATTCATCGCCTATGTAGGCAGCGACATGAACACCACTTTCCAACTGTGTGTGCTCAAGGCACTAGCTGACTTTGCTCCACTTTATAAGTTCTCAAGATCAAGAATTCCGTTTTCTTTAGCAAAGTGTGCTTTGCTTGTTGCAGGCTCGGTATGTTCAGGCCTCCTGTCCATATGGAATTCATTCATTTCTGGGTTGGAAACACTGAGTTGATGTAATAGCAAACCAAACCACAGAGAACTAGAAGGGTCAGACTAATAACAGGATCCTTGCTCACATAATACATACAACGTTTTATAAACATTTAAATTCTTTCATTAAACTGCAGTGTCATTAAACTGCTGTGGCTCCATATGTGAAATTTAAGAATAGGGTCATTATAGATGTGTCCAGTTTCCGGAACATTAGCCTCCACCCAAATGCAGGCTGTTATAAGAGGAACAAGTGGGAAGATGATCATTTGATTTACAAAATCACTTTATAAAACAATCCACTATAGGGTTCCTTTAAATACCTAATAGCACTCTGTGTTATGGAATACGACTTACTATTCACAATTTCTGTTCACAAAACATCCTTGGAGAACAAATGTTGATTTAAATATTGGATTACATATCCAGTCATGTACAATAATATTTTCAATGTAGTGGGTTTTTTTTCTTTTTAAATACAGAGGTACTTCAGTTCACGAACTTAATTCTTCCATGATTCTGGTCACAACTGAATTGATCGGGAAGCAAACCAAATTTCCCCACAAGGTCAACACTGAACCTAAAGATTGAATTTGACTTGGTTCACAACCAATTTGGTTTGTGACCAGAACTGTGGAAAAAATTAAGTTGCACTGAAGTACGTACCACTGTAATAATAAGAATGAAAGGACCATGAGATCAGAAAAGTCTCAGGATCATTGTGTTAATTTAATCATAAATTCACTGGAAGCTGGAATTTACCTCTTAGGCTGGTGACCCTCATCAAGGTCTGAACAGAGAGAAAGGTGGCGCTCTAAACACAAGCTTTAAAATTCTCTACAGGCAGAGCTGACTTCTCATCCTTCCTATTTAGAGAGTGCTGTCTGTTCCTGGTCCACCCTAGTTGAACTTTTACCCAGGACTCTGTAGGAACCTGTCTTTTCTCTCCAGATGGTAAGCATGTCTGTTTTGTTTTACTAGGTTTCTTTTCTACTGTGCCTTCCTCCAAATCCTGGATCCTGACAGACAGCTGAGCAAATTTCCCCACCAAAAGCTGGAATCCCAACCCAAAAGCTCTTGTTGGCTACATCAAGGATCACTAATACATGAAGCTTTAAAAATCATCTCCTGTGCCTCTCCAGAGGCAAGTGACTCGACTTCCTCATTGACGTCTAAATAAACAAGCCACTGGACACCCCAGGCTGCAAGAAAGTTGGATAAACATTTGCTTGGGAGGAACCACTTTGGCAAAGTTCTCGGAGCTGATCTGCCCTGTTCAGGTCCCACAGACATCAAGTGCCATCATGAGAAAGTGGCATTGAGCTGATATTGCCTTCTCCATGTCCTCTTTGCAAAATCAGCACTGAGTCCTTCATATCTTCATGAATCTATTTATTTCCTTGACAAATACTTATTGAACCTCTGGTCTCTGCTTGGAGCTGGTGTAGGGGGCAGGAGGAGGAGATAGTAGGAGTCACTGCCTTTAGATCAGCATGAAAGTTACTGTATGAGTCAAAATAATTATTTATGCTACAAATGCAAAGGGTACACTTAAATCTTATAAGGAGAGACAACTTGAGTAAAAAGAAAACGCTTTGAGAAGATGACATTTGAGTTTCTTTTTCTGAAATGACATTTAAATTGAGATTAAGAAGTCAAGTAGGATGGGATAGAGTAGAGCTCCAGGTTTCCTAGCAGAAGAAATAGTGAGGCAGGCTCAGAGAGGTTAAGCAACATGCCCAGGATGTGCAGTTGGAGTGAGGGAGGGCTGAACCTCCAGTGTGTGTCTTTTTGTCTTTGCACCACCACCTACTAGCTAGGTGTGACTGTGGCATTGACTCCAAGGCAAGGGGGCTTAGCTCCCCTGGCAGGTTCTTATCCACTAGGGTAGGTTGGGGGTGTTCCCATTTTCTCACACTAGCCATTGTCATCAGAATAAATTCCTAGCTGTAGAAGATGCAGCAACTGCACCTGGTAGAGATCTACGGATGCTTTCAAGTGGAAGATAACTTTCCCATAACTCTAGGCCATTGCTTATAGTTTGCTTAAGCCAGGACCATCTGTAGGAAGCAGAATGCTTGCTAAGATAAAATCTTCAGCCACATTCACAATACCCTCTTAATTCCATTGACATCAGGACATTGTTGAATTCTGCCTGGCAGTACTGGGCCCCTTTACTGCTCCAGGGCCTGTGGCCTTCTCCAACATTCACCCCTAGACCTAATCCAATCAAGCCCCACCCCTTCTCTCTTTTGATATTTTTCCCATAAGCATTTCCTTGTGCTGGAAAGCTGTCCCCTCTCCAATAATGAAAGCCTCGCTGTCTTTTAGATTCAATATCTAAAACAAACGTAGTCTCTTGGGGGCTCTTACCCTTCAGTGTGATCTCTTCCCAAAGCAAGGGAAATTTATGAAAATCTACCACTCCCGAGGCACAGTAAGCAGATGTTGGATAAATGTTTACCTTCTTTCCATATTATTTGTGAACTATTTTGAGTACACCCTGGGCTTTAAAAACAGACTTCTCAATCAGGCAGATCTGGCGTTTTCTAATCTTTACTCTTTTGGTTTCTATTTTGTGATCTTGGCCAAGTTGTTTAATGTCTCAGCCCTCAAGCTGAGGGCACTATTTGCTTTTGCTTCAGGGGGCGCTGTTCACACAGAATTCAGGGGTGTCTCCAACTGGCTGGGAGAGAGTGCAGCCTTAATTACCATTCTCTGCTCTCTGGAGACTTGTCTTCGACCTAGTCTTCCCTTTCATTTTTTCTGGGCTGTACATCTCCACTTTTGAAGGTCCACTCTGTCCACTCTGGCACAGTGGTCTCTCACCCAGTAAGCAATGTTTTCCCTTGGTAAAGTGCTGTGTTCTGTGAAGTTTGGGAGAGAAGAATTTTTTAAAAATCTCTGGAGGAGCCAGGTAGTTCCAACTGTGTGGTTAGGAGTTCCTGTCATCCCTTAGGGCTCTTTGGACCTTCTGTCACTATCCTCACAGTTTCCAGGGAAGTGCTACACTCCTTGAAAACTGAACAAAACAGAGACAAAGTGCCTCTTTGGTCCTTCTTTGCATAGCTGAGATCTTAAGGAACAGTTATGAAATATGATAGAAATTCACACTGGAAGTGCACATAGAATGAGTGTCCAGCTTTTAAAGCACTGGTTTTTGAAGTCCACAGCAAATGCATGGAACCTCACAGAAGTCTGATGGAACCTCACAGGTACCTTCCCTGGTCCAGCTTTATTTCCCATGCTGGTTATACTGGTGGGGACATTATAGCTCCAACCCTTTCTTGTGGGATCGATGAAGAGATAGAGATTTTTGTGGTGATAATAGGTAGTATCTGAGAAGGAACAGTGATCTTGGCAGGCAAGTTAGCTAGATCAAATTTAAAAACTGAACTTAAAAATTTTTAACTCCATTGCATGGCTTTTGATATTGTAATTTGGCTACTTCCTAGATTGATCAAATCTCCATAAGAAAAGCAAGCACACCCACAGAGTACATATATGCACATGTGATTTCTGGAAGAAAACAATGGAATTGTTTCTCACCAATTGGCTTGTAAAACAATTTTTATTATCCCTTAGTCACACCTGTTATGTTGTATGTGCTATGGTCTTTTGTGGTGTCGGAGCCCTTCAGCCAAAGAACACTAAGAATACCCTATATTGGAGTCACTTGGGCTTTTGTAGTTAGTCCATGAACTACAGATACATGAGCAACCATGCGAGCCTCAGTGGAAGGGGGCAAGGCTTGAGTGGGATTTGAACTTGTTTTAGGTACTGAAGGCTTATGGAAGTGACACTTTGCTGTGGAAGGAATTATGGGTGTGTTACTGTGTTAATTAACACATTATGTTAATGAATCTTATGATCTAGAAGGAGAGAGCTCTGGCATGGATCCAAAGTTAATTATTGGTACAAAAACAGCAATCCCTGTTACTAGCCAGGACAGGAGGCCATTTGGCTGTTTTGTGGTTTGTACAATGGTCATGTTACTGTTTTTGTTCAAACAAGATTACAGAGAGGTCTTGTTTTTAACTAATCCCATCATGATCATAGTGGTTTTGCCTGATGTCAATGCACTTCAGAGTGCATTAGTCATTAGTACTAGAATACCAGAGCCTTACTGGGAGTGTCAGACCAGATCTTGATGGCAGGTACTGCCCTCCCCTCCTCAGTAGGCATGTGTGTGTGGTCAGTGACTCAGGTTAAGCGAAGAACTATGTTACATCACCCCTTTGTCTGGCCTTGCTAAGAACAATTTTCTCTCTATGCTGTTCCCATCTCTCCAAGATGAGGGTTGCACTCTAATTATAGACAAGTCCTTTTTAAAATTATGTTTGCATTTCCAACATCATCTGTTCTGCACTGGAAGTGGGACCTGGAGTCAGGGAAGTTCATAGATGTAACTTGTAGTCAGAATTTTTATGCCCTTCTCTTGAAAGTCTTTCCTTCTTTGGCTGTGGTCTCTAGTACAGTCCCTTTGACTCAGCATGACAGATAAGATGGGTGTAGTCAGTGACTCTTGGTTAAATTGCTATACTAGTTTAAATGTATGAATCAATAATAACTATTGCCTCTATTTATTGCATGATTAATATATTCTAGGAACTTTACACATGCCATTGCATTTAAATTGTACTCTGACCTTTGGATGTATGTGTTATAGCCAATTCACAAGTGAGAAAACTGAGGGTCAGAAAGGTTAAGTGGCTTGCTTGGGCTACCTGGCCATTGATTAGCTGCAGAGCGGGGCTTCAGGTCCATGTCTGTGCTTACTTGAAGTGGAGTCCCTTCCAATCTGCTAAGCTGCCTCTGGGGTCACCTGTTCCAGGAGCATTCCTGGCCTAGGTCTCCTATATTCTCATTATCTCCCATGTGAAATATACCAAGTTGTTCAGATAATGCTACTGTGACCAGCTGGCCCAGAGACGCCTACAGAACAGTGCACCTATGAGAGTGCGAACACCACCAGAACTTGGGATTCCCTGGCCTCTGTTCCTGAGCTCTCTTTTCTGGAAGGACCAGGGAAAGCTTGTGTCTCAGGTGCATCCTGTACACAACATTCCACTGGCCTTGCAGCAGAGAGGATGTGGGAGTACACTCACCTCTCTACTTGAGGTGGGGTCTTCAACCAGCGCATCCCCCAATCTAGCCTGAAAGGAGCTCAGCTACCCATGAAGCCAGGAAAGATTGTTTCTACCACTCTTGCCAAATTCCACTGAGGAAGAGTCCATTGGACCCCTAGTGAGCTGCCTGTTAAAGACATTGGAGCTAAGTCTCTGGCAAGCCTCCCTCTGTCTACTACAGGAACTAGATATGGCCAGGGCAGTTCAGTGAGCTGGGTGACTTGATGCTCCCCGGGGTGCTAAACATTTGCAAGTCCTGCTGGGTGACTGTTAGATAGGTATAGATGATTTTCATAGAAAACAGGAAGTGTTCTACAGTAGCAGTTAGATGCACTTGTTTTAGTTCCTCAGCAAGGGTGCTGTGGGTCCCCTCTGTTTGCTACCTTTACATCCTATTCTCAGTCCTCTTAGGCAAATCTGCTACATGCAATTGTCGATGACTTCTGCAAGAACAATATGGGAAAAGGGACTGACACTTTGTTCCTTTTCTAGCATAGTACCTGGTACTTAGGAGATGTTCAGTACCAAGAGAGTTCATACAGTTATGTTAGTGCAGAAGGCAGAGAGCCAGCCCCATAATTCCGGTGGGTATATGGCTATGGGAGATCCTCGAGAAGTGTTTTGTAATTCAGTTGACTCTTAGCCTGAAACAAGGTAGTAAATGTTCACAGAAACTTGAATGTCTTCTGCACCACAGTTGCCAAGGGGCTAGAGAAAATTATTTTTGACATCCGCTTTCAGGCCCCAGAGCTAATATTTCTTACCTCTAATACAAAATTTTTTACTCCCAGAAATATCCTGAAGTTAACTTTGTTTGTGAGCAGCTTAACTAAAAGGCAAAAATATTGAATGTCTTTTTTACTCATATGGAGAAGTATAGCTTTAGTAATGCAACTCTAAATCAGCAGTAATAGAAGCCACACCTTTTACCCTCCTCTCCGATGGAGTGGCTGCTGAGCATGCTGGGAAAGGGCTGTGGAGTAAATGCCCTACACAGTCCCCAGGTCAGACTGGATTGTTCTGAGGTGGATGCCTATTAAAAAAGTAAGCTATTTAGGCATCTCCAATTTTAGCAATGAGCATAAACTTTTGGTATCTCACTTAAAATGAGGAGTGAGATTGAAGTACGAATGCATGTGTGTATTTTTACAGATGGGGACTGAGGAAGAAGTATTCTTTATTTTCAAGAATTTAAAGGGTGTTTAAATGAAAGAGACATGGGCCTTATTTAGAATTATGAGTTGCCCCTGCTGTTCTATAGTTTCTCCAGTAGGTCTGCAACAAATACATAGCAAATGGTTACCAGTGCTGAGTGATGTGGCCCCTGCTTGCCTTTTCAGCCTAAGTTGTCACCAGGGTCCCTTAGCCACTATTATTTGTTTAACTGGAACTTCTTTCAGCTCTTCCTTGCTTGCTTTCTTCTGTCACCTTTGTGGGGGTCACACATACCTCTAAATGCAGAGTAGTTAGTTACTGCTACTCTCACAAGAATGTCTGTCCTGAAATTTTTTTTTTTTTTTTTTTTACCAGAGATTGAACTCGGGTCCTTGTGCTTGAGAGAAGGCAGGCAACAGAACCACTGAGCTAAATCCCTGGCCCCTGTCCTGAAATATTTCCATTACATGGGGAGCTACAGGCCACCAACCAACACGAGTGACAGCAGACTCCTTACTTTATATACATACTGATTAATTTGTTTATCATCATTTAGCAAATATCCGTAGAACACCTACTATTATGACTCTAATGTAGCTTCAGACCCAGGCCTCGGTGTCCCTGTTTTACCCTCACTCAATACATGTGTTCCCACTCTTTTACCTTATGGCAGTGGGCAGTGTAGCCCTGCATTTCATTGTTTATGGGTTTGTCTACACTGCCACTCCTACCTGCACCGGGAACTGCATGAGGACAAAGACTGACCATCTGGTCCACGATTGCCCCCAGGGTGTCTAGCACAACTGCTGACATACACAGCATTGTCAACACATCAGTATTGAATAATGATAAATAAATTAATGTATACATAAATGTGTTGATCTCGCTGCCACTGAAATGTTTCCCCAGATGGTAGATCTGTTGCTAAAGGGGAATCTTGTAGAAAAGGTGTTTTCTTCAACAGTATATTAAGCATATTGCCTTGTATATAGCGATGTGCTTAGTTCACTTTCCCATTCAACTGTGAGCTTGCTGAGAACAGGAAGACTTCTATTTGTCATTGAAATCCTACAGAATTTGCATACACTCAGTGTTTGAGGAATGTACAAAAAGTATTTTCTGAGAACAAGCTGTTTATAGAACAAGAATGCTGAAGCAGTAAAGAAAAAGTGGCCATAATATAATCCACTTGTTTTGCCAAGCCACCAAGGATACCTTGGTAAATATTAGTTAATGAGTAGCTTTTTGTTTGCTATTAAGATTTACTGATTTCAGTAGAATGGGACCTAAAAACTGAACACATTATATAACAATCAGACACCAGGGACAATCTCTAACCATGGGATAGTTTATAAAATACACATCGGCTGTGTCCATGGTTAGATTAAATGCCATTATCTAAGCAAAGCAGGATATGTGCAATAATAGGTCTTCCTGTGAGTGATGGGTTTGGTTAGTGAATGAACTTATCCCATATCCTTGCATTGTCCACAGATAATTCTTCTCACTCTGTGAACAAATGAATCAATAGCATTGGCTAATCCAGTGCATGTGAAAAGCACCTTCAGTAAATGTCAGCTTTTCCTGAATAAATCCAATAATAAAGCTTCCTTTAAATCTCATTTTCTTGCATAATAGTGACACTTATATAGAGAGATTAACATGGTATCTTGTTTCTTTCTGGTGTGATCTTACTTTCGTCTTGAAAACACATCCTGGACTATATTTGTATAGTTGCCTGTAGCTTTGTGAACGCATAGAAAATTCAGCATCCCTGTGTGTTTTGGAAAATAAGCTGGGAGATGGGTGATGACTAATTGTTTCTGGCCAAAAGTCATGTGGCATGACTTAGGGGAATGGCAAGAGAGCTTCAGAGCATGGCAAAGGAAAGGAGGGTAGTACTGGAATCCAACCCCCACCTGCTGGCCAGGGATCTGAGCTAGTGGTTTGTCATGTCTTAGCACGATGGTATTTAAGCCATGTGAGGTTTTGAAAAATGTATAAATCTAGCCCAGGCTTAGTCTGAGAATGCTTGCTTTGGTTTAAGCCACACAATTGCACTATTGAATTAAGCGTTTTCAAGCTAATACAAATTAGCATCAGTCCACTGGCAGAAGCTTGAGATAAATTAGACTGGGTCTCAAAGACCTGCGTCTGGACCAGTTCCCAACACCACCATTTCCTTGCTTTTCCTAGCCATGGATGCCTTGGGGCAGAATATGTTTAGGAAGCTGGTGAGTGCAGACAATCTGGGGAAAGCATTACAGGCTGCAGATTGCTTTTGTTTCATCTGGTCATAAGGCCAGCCAGATGTTTTATTATTAATGTAGTTATGGAAACCCAAACTTATCCAAGAAATACATCAGGGGGTACTTCCTCATTTTACAGAAATAATCTTTGAAAGTAAAACAAATCTCAGAGAGGCTGGAGAAGGGTGGTGGTTTAGAAGCCATCTCTGAATTAAAGCGTATGATAAAGAGAATGTGGATTCTGTTGATAAATGTTGTCTTAGAATTGATTATTTAAGTTGATACCCACTCTGTAAAGAGCCTGGTAAATACCATGAGCTTTCATGCACATGGAAGATGGAGTCAGTGTCCAGAGCCGTAGGCCAGGTTATAGGACCTGTGTGTCAGACACAGAGTGGGGCTGGGGAAAGGAGACTGTTCTCGCCTGTGTGCCTCCCTGGGACACCCCCTAACACTCTTTGAAGATCTGATGTTCCTGAGGGTTGGGCAGGGCCCCTGAGTGTGTGCACTCCTGTTTGCTCTCTTGGTTGCACCTTTTTTGTGTGTGCATCTTTAGAATCTGTCCTTTACATTTCAAATCACCACAGTTGTGATTTTTTTTTTCACCACTTCTACTTGGGTTGGCTTTGTGTGTTTTTACCTGGGTTAAGGTCTTGAGCAAGACACTGTGGAATATCACTTTTGTTTAAAATGTATCACTAAGTTGGTTTCGCTTCCTAGTATTTATGAATAAACACGTTTTGGGAGGGGGATTTTGAAATCTATTTTAAAAACATATTTGCATTTAATGAAAAATACCATGAAGACATTGCAAACCACAGTGGACACACCTTGATTTTCTTTGATGCAGGGAAGAGGTAGCCTAATGTTTATGGGCTCTGAGTTTCACCACTGTTCATTGTTTAGGGAAAAGTCTCTTCACTCTTTTGTTGTAAAATGGAAGTCACAAAAAATGTCATTGGTAAGAAACCATTAAGCAAACAGTATTTTGAACATTCAGCAAATTGTTCCACTTATATTATATTATATTTATGGTGTAAGTAGTAAGTGCTAATAAATCATGCCAGCATCTGGGATCTAGGAATGAATGAAAACATGGTGTGATAGCTCTGGAGCAAGGAAGAGGTGCGAGAATAATCTTCATAATTTGCTTTTGGAAACATTGGCAAATCATGAAGAGACAATAGAAACATGTTTTCAGATACACAGAGAAAGCCTCTGACATTGTCTGGTATGTTCTGAACTCTGTTCCAAATAGTCACTTTAAAAAAAAAAAAATTTGATCAATTCTATACTCATCATGATGTGTGGTAGGGAAATCTGACTCTAGAATGGAAAATTTGGTAACTGGGACACAGTGTGGTAGAAGTTTTCCTGGACTGGAGGCAAGAAACCTTATGTTCCAGTTCTATCCTGCCACTGGTTAGGTATCTGACTTAGGATAAATCATTTGACTTTCTGATTGTCAATTTCCTTTATCAACAAGTAAGTATACAAGATAATTTAGATAGTATATTGATGAATGTTTCTTTTTCAGTTATTTATCTTTATATATCACAAAAATACAAACATTGTTTCAGGCTTATGACTTCATAGAAGTTATTGCTTATCAGAAGGCTTACTTTATTAAAGAAAAAAGGGAGTAGTTTGAAGAATAATATCAAATAAAAGCATAGGCCATAATTATTTCTTAAACTAATTATGATCAAATATTTTTAAGATGTGTCACTGAGTAAGATCAGGAGATACCTGAGCATATGATCTCTTGATGTGTATCTATTTTTATCTTTGTCGTGAGTTTTATATTTAAGCCTTCTTGTAGAAAGTTTCTATTGGAAATAGCTTCCAAGTAGACAATAAGCCAATGATCACTTCGTATGTAGTTAGGTCTGTATGTTACTCACCAGGCTCTCTGCTGCTATAGACCTCAGGTTATTTTTGTTTTTCCTCTTATGTGTTTTCAGATCAGGGTGTTCACAGAAAGGATGTTCAAACAACTTCGGAAATGGTTTGTCACTCACTTTTCTGGGCATTCTCGGCAGAGAGCAAGGCTGGTCTCCAAAGACGGAAGATGCAATATAGAATTTGGCAACGTGTATGTACAGTCAAGATTTATATTTTTTGTGGACATCTGGACAACTGTGCTTGATCTCAAATGGAGATACAAAATGACCATTTTCATCTCAGCCTTCTTGGGGAGTTGGTTCCTCTTTGGCCTCCTATGGTATGTCGTAGCCTACGTTCACAAAGACCTCCCAGAGTTCCATCCTCCAGACAATCATACCCCCTGTGTGGAGAATATTAATGGCATGACCTCAGCCTTTCTATTTTCTCTGGAAACTCAAGTGACCATTGGATATGGATTCAGGTGTGTGACAGAACAATGTGTCACTGCCATTTTTCTACTAATATTCCAGTCTATTCTAGGAGTTGTCATCAATTCTTTCATGTGTGGTGCCATTTTAGCCAAAATCTCAAGACCCAAAAAATGTGCCAAGACCATTACATTTAGCAAGAATGCAGTGATTAGCAAGCGGGGTGGGAAGCTCTGTCTTCTGATCCGAGTGGCTAATCTTAGGAAGAGTCTCCTCATTGGAGGTCACATATATGGAAAACTTCTGAAGACCACAGTCACTCCTGAAGGAGAAACCATTATTTTGGACCAGACCAATATCAACTTCGTAGTTGATGCTGGCAATGAAAATCTATTCTTCATCTCCCCAATGACAATTTACCACATCATTGATCACAATAGTCCCTTTTTCCACATGGCAGCAGAAACACTTTCCCAGCAAGACTTTGAGTTAGTAGTATTTTTAGATGGCACAGTGGAGTCAACCAGTGCTACCTGCCAAGTCCGCACGTCTTATGTTCCAGAAGAGGTTCTTTGGGGCTACCGTTTTGTTCCCATAGTCTCCAAGACCAAGGAAGGGAAATACCGAGTAGACTTTCATAACTTTGGTAAGACAGTGCAAGTTGAGACCCCTCACTGTGCCATGTGTCTTTATAATGAGAAAGATGCTAGAACCAGGACAAAGCTAGGTTATGACAACCCCAACTTTGCCTTGTCAGAAGTCAATGAAACAGATGACACCGAAATGTAGCAGTGGCTTTCACCATGAATGAAACAAAGTTTTCTAGGTACCCAGTGACTTCTACATTATGAAGCAATCAACAGTTTTGGGTTACAAACACAAAAACAAGAGCCATCAAGGTCTACCAGCACAATGACCCCTACAAGGTACATGACTCTACAAGACTAGTATGTTAGCACACATAATGCATTTATATGAAACTGCATATGAGAGCTACAAGTGTTCACCTGGAATTTTGAATATGATTATTTTCGGTCATTCAGTGTTCATGAGAACAGATGAAATCACCAAGAGTCTCATGGACAGGCTAAAGGAGATAGTTTTTTTTTTTTAAGTCTCCTTGAAAGGGTTAGGAGCTTTAAATGGGACCAAGAAGCAACTATATTTTCATTTTGATTCTGATAAGAAAAATGTTATTTTTATTTTAACACTGATTTTATTAACGGAAAAGTTGTCTTCTGTGTTGGAGGAGATGAGCTAATAAACCAATGACAATAAGAAGAGGTTGTTACACAATGAATAACTTGAGGAGCTAAGCTTCTCAAGTTCTGGCCATTAGAGCCTTCATCTGAGTCTGGATCATTTATGTTACATAAAGAGGAAGGAAAAGCACAGTCCAGGGACTAGGCAGGATACAAACATGCTTTACTTTATGACTTACACATATGCAACAGCCCACATTGGGCTTTGGCCCAAATGTTTTCATGTGGTACGTTTAGACAGAGGCTAGAGCTATACTCCATAATCTTGATGAACTACATCTTGCCAAAGGGAAGGCTTGAGCTGAGAACATTGGTGATGTTTGTTTCAATCTTCACTGGATGGGTGAAGGATCTACAGATCTGTTAAGAGTATTTCCTGCTCATTCCCAATAGCAGTGAGGATTTTGAGAACGCAGTCAGTCTGAAAGGCTAAGGCATACTAATGGTTAAAGTTTCTTGTGTTTCTCTGCCTAGGGTTTGCACTTAAATGTATTTCTGAAGAGGTGAAGAGGGGAGAGCAATAAGATGTGGCCTCACAAGCAGGATATTTTGAGACCTTTGTGTCTCTATAAGCCATCCCCACATCTTCCTAAAAGGGACCAATCTAATGGAAGGATTTCCCCTTAGGGGAAGGTTTTAATGTGAATGGATTATATTGTTTCTCATCTGAATTATTTTGAATATATCCTGGAAAAATGGAAATCAAAGATGCTTGGTAATCAAGATGATTCAATGTGTTGAAATATTAAATTTCTGAAACTAGTGTCTGTTTTGATGCATCAAATGTGACAGGGAAACTGGGGAAAATACTCTTGCTACGGTGGACTTTCTCCTGCAAGGGGCAGAACTGGTGGGAAGGCAGCAGGCAGGTAGGATGCATTTGTTGTCTCAACTCCCTGCAGGAAGTGAGCATGGCCACAGACACATCCCATCAAGCTGTCCTGTGTGAGTCTTGGCACATACAGCATCAACCACTGGCAGGTGCTGGTATGCATGTCTGTCTGTTTCCATGCTTGAACTGGAGTTTGCACAGATCCATACATAGAATCTTGTCCTTCTGACTCAGATCAGTGGGAACTCTGGTGAGTCTAGGGTTTTATACTTTGTCAGTGGCTAAAGCAGGGGCACAACTGGCTGCTGTGGGAGATTACCCTTGCCTGAAAGTGTTTTGACACAAGAATGCACTCTGCTGACAAAGCTAAAAAAATAGGTACCATATACCGAAGAAGCTGGAATTCTCCGCTGGCCTATTATCACAGGTTTTATGGCCCTGTATGCCTTTATAAAATAGAGGGACCATACATTGACTAAGGTCCTTCACACCTGAGTTCATTCCTCTGGTTCCCTGTCCCTAGCAGCAGGCTTGGGGATGGATGGAAGGACAGTGCTCAGAAGAAAAAAGTCTCTTTGATTGTTAAAGGAGCTGAATGACTGGAATATTTCTCATTGGTATTTGTTTCTAGATTATTCCATGGAAAGTTTATCTGCTTCTGAATAATCCCTTATAAGAGTCGAAGTACTCAGATTGTACTGAAGTCTCCCTTTTAGCACCCATTTCCACTGAACTTTTAGCAGCCATTAAGAACACCCAATAAATCCCTTAGGAAATAAACCCGAGGAAGGTAATTTTTGATAATTCTAAAGAGAACCCAAAAGCAGCATAAGAAGCTCTGGGCATTTGGAGAGAAGGGATTACAAGGGCACAGTAACTTGGTGAATAAAGAAAACAGATGGGAACCAGAAATCATCAGAAGGCCAACTTAACTCTATGTGAAGGCCAAAGCTAATGGTTGCCTTTTTATTCTCATGCAGTAACATTTTTTCCCAGTAAGACTTGATCACACCAGTAGCATTATTACTTATATGTATGTTATATTGTATTTATTAATTTTTCATTTCAAAAGCAATTTTCTTTTTCTTATTCTCTTAAAAGAACCGCATCCCTCAATGCATTATTGTATTCACAGTTTTCCTTGGGAGTTTTTCCCCAGGAATTGCCCACTTTGTTTTTATAGGGATTTTGACTTGGAGAGCAGTGTAGCCTTTCTGGACCTTGGTTGGCTCAAGGGCCAATATTTAGAGTGAAGATTTGGGAGTCTGTCTTTAACAAGGGCAGAAGAAAAAGAGTCTGAGTACCCAAATGGAAGAAGTGAGGTGATCAGAGTATGTTTTCATCTTGACAGTGGACCTGAAGAAAAATCTTTCCAAGTGGATTGCAGGCACAGTGGAACATGCACTGTCCTTAAATGCACATGTCCTTAAACATGCACTGTCCAAGAGATGAGTGGTCAACAGGATCCTCTGTGCCTGCCATGGGGACTCTTCCCCCCTCTAGCACCGTTAAAGCTCTGATGGGAAGAATGCAAATGAACCCATGGCCCCGCCCCTGGGCCGTTGCCGTCTGCCATTACAGGAAGTGTGTGTCAATCAAAGCCTGACAGGGGAGATAGAGCATTTTATTTTGGAAGCCAGAAGTTTGAGAACAATGACTGGAATTTCCTCTTTCTGTGCAGCAAGGGCTGTTTGTCACTGGGGAGATAAAAGTCCAGGGGTAGGGAATAAAGGTTATCAGGATCTGCGCAATGCAGAGCCGCGTGTATGGGGAGGCATGATGGGAGGAGGAGTTATGGAGGAAATCTATTTCAATGCCTGTCATTAAGTTTCCATTAAAAGAACATTCAGTTAGGAATTCAAAAATAATTTAATCTCTCCAGCCAGATGCGCCCAGCTGGACTCTTTGGAGCAAAGCCTTGTAGAGGGGAAGATCTTGCACTACCAGGGCAGGGGACTGGGAGCCTCCACCCGGCGCATCCCTGCCTGTGATGAGTATCCTGGAAGGCACCACATCTTTCTGGAAAGTGAGAAACCCCAAGACTTGTGCCATGGGAGGAGAAACTTTCTGTGGAGGGGTATTTGAAACGATTTTACTATGTTTTAAGTTCTCTTTTAAACATTTCATATACATTTCCTCATTTAAATTTCCCAACAATCCTGAGAGATAAGTGTAATTATTACACTTATTTTTCACATGAGCCAGCTGAAATAAGCAACTTGTCCAGAGTCCCAAGCTGGTAAACGAATCCCATGCCAGCCTTCCTTGAAATCTTGTGAGTTTAAAATCACCTAAGTCTACATCCTACAAGGGGTCTTACTGTGACAGGACTTATTGGAGCTATCTATCACCCAGACCATGGAAGAGGTCATGGTCCCAGCCTACTCTCACACTTGGAGCATAACCATTCATTGCTTAGCACAGGGAGAAGCACTGGCCAGGCTTAATCATCACTCTGGTATTACAGTTCTAGAAAAAGTGTTTTTCCAGGTGTTCTGGGTAACCTGCCCAATGCGTCTCTGGAAGTATCATGGGCATCTTGAAAAACTGCCTGACCTGTTGGTGAAACCAGTCATCTTGATACTAATAACATTTAAAATACTACACACATATGGAGTGATTGAAATATACAGTGAATGTTTAAATAAAAAACAACAAAAGACACAAATTACCATTAACCCTCCTAAGATACAGTTGTTTTGAACACATTTATCTCATCATTCTTGCCACTCTCTGAAGCAGTCCTGAGTCCTTTTTTATAAGGGTACATACGAAATGTGATAAAAAGAAATGCAGTAAGTACTGCTGCCAAGCACCATCTAACGGGAAGGCAGGCTCACAAAAACATCACTGTGTATCCTCGTCCACTTCACTACCCAGATCGAGCGCTGTGCAGCTTCTGGCTCTTCACCAAAGTTGGAATGACCTCGAAAGGTAAACATTTTGAGTCAGTCTAGGACATTAAGACAGCCACAATAGCACAACTAAAGACGTTATTGGAAGTGGACTTCCAAAACTGCTTCAGAAAGAAGTGTTTGAAGTGAGGAGGGGTATTTTGATGAATGACAGTACGTCTTTTACTATAATAAATGTTAAAAATTTAAATATTTACCATAATTTTATCACATTGTGTACACACATCATGTATGTATATTTATGCAACAATCTCTAAGTATACACACTAATATACCAATTGTATATATTAAAAACTACATATAATACTTTATTTCAATTTCTGAATTAGAGGCATATAAGGTTTTTTATAGATAGAGAGATGGAACCTCAGTTGTCCTTGATTAACAGGATCTGTATTCCTCTCTCCATTTCTAGGATCAGCAAATTTCCTCATGCAGTCATTAAATGGTTCTTTTTAATTTATTTATTTTTGCCTTTTTTGGGTACCAGGGATCAAACTCGGGTCCTTGCTCTTGCAAGGCAGGTGGCAGAACCACTGAGCCAAATCCCCAGACCTAGTAAATTGTTCTTGAGTGAATAAGTAAATGAAAGAATGATTTTCTCAGGACTGCATGGCTAACTGTAGATTTGAACTTATACCTATCCAATAAAGTTTTGATTAAGTTATATCATTTACCAGCAGAGGGACTTTGACACAAAACTTAACTTTGTTGAGTCTGTTTCTTTATTTGTAAACAGGACTTTCAAAATAAGTTTGAGGAGAGAACTGAGTGAATAATAGATGGGAAAGTCTGAGTAGAAAATAAATGGCCACTGACAAAGACAGGAACAATTGGATTGAACTCCAAGTGCTGCAGAGGAAGGGCCGGGTCCCCAGGCAAACCCCACATCTTGTCTGGGTAGGTGAAGAAAGCAAAGCATAGGTCTGTGCCCTGGCAGAGAACAGAGGAATAAAATGACAGCACTTAGGGGCCCACTTAGGTGGGAGGAGCTATGAACTGGAAATTGGAAAGCCCTGATCCTTACAGTTTGTTTCAATCCAACAAATGCTCATCCTGGGCTCCCTGTGAGCCAGGCATTGAGAATGTCCACACGAGGGAGCACAGCAATCCAGTCCACTGCTATGAAGGATGCAGGGTCTTTAACCATTGGAATGACCAGTACTAGCTTGCAAAATTGCTGATTGTCCAAGAAGTCATTTTATTTTATTTTTTTGGCCTTCAATAGTGCATACTTACAATAATTTCAAAACCTGATTTTTTTTCTCATTGAGTTTATTGGTACTTTTTAGGTATACAGTACAGTTACATTCATCATTGGGATCTTGTACCTTTACATGACAGGTCTTGGTTCTCATTTTTTCCCCATACCCCTGCCCTCCATTCACCCCCTCCTTCCTTTCCTAGTTACAAAAACTTTTTTTCTGTTTTTTTGTTTTCTCATATCAAAATCTGATTTTGAACTTACTGCTAACAATAAGACAATTGGTTGTAGTTTTTAAATTATTTTGAGATTAAAAATTTGTTTACGAGATATCCTGCTAGGGATACAGTTGATGTATTGTTTTTAAATCACTCATAGTTCTTTTCTTAATTTGATTGTGTACCAGCTTAATAGTGAGGTTCATTTTCTCCAATATCTTGCTAATTGTTGGAATGTTTATTAGCTTTTTTACTTAACTTTTCTTTTAATGATTATAAAAAGAGTTTATATGATTTCAAAGTCATGACATAGAATGTAGAAAACACTTCCTGTGTTCCGCCCTGCTGTTTTTGAAAATTTTACTTCTTTGGTAACTGATAAATAATGATGGTATATATTTACAAGGTACGACATGATGTTTTGATACATGTATACATTGTGGAGTAATCAAATTAGGCTACATAACCATCACCTCCAATATTTATCATTCCTTTGTGATCATGACATTCAAAATTCTCTCCTTCAGCTATTTTGAAATATATACAGAATATATTATTCTTTACTGTAGTCACTGTGCTGTGCAAGAGGTCAGCAGAGGCTTTAACCCATTTCTTTCTGACAAAGGTAAGCTATACGTGTGTATTTACACGT